TAGGCAGCTGGCACGACCCCTCTTGTCCTACAGGAGTAACCCCGGAACCCTGTTCCGGACGCCCCTACCCACCACCAGATGCCGCCCCCACACTCGGACACCGTGGAGTTCTACCAGCGCCTGTCAACTGAGACACTCTTCTTCATCTTCTACTATCTGGAGGTACAGCAGGGCCCCCGGGGCAGCCTCGGGCCCCCCGGCTTCGCCGCCACCGCCGCTGTCCCCCCTCGGGCTGGAGGGGTGAGGTGGGTGCCCCACTGCGGCCACTGGGACCGCACCCTCTCCCTATCCCTAGTCCTGGGCCCCCCCCAAACCAATCTATTCCCACTTCCAGCCCAGAGGTATTAGAACTGCTTGGGTTGAGGGCAAGGCTGGTCCACTGAGGCAAGCGTCAGCCTGCTTCCCTTTGCTCTCCGGCAAGGCCCAGCTCCCTTCCCTGCTCCATTCGCCGGGTTCCTTCAGTCTAGGCCATCCCTCCACTCTGCCCATTGGCAGGGAACTGCCAATCTTCTGACCCCAGTGAGTCATGGATAAGCACCCACATCCCCACTTGAGAAATCTGTATTGCCTCCTTTCTCAGCTCTCATCACACATTAGTTTCTCTTCCTTTTCAAAGCTTCTCTGAAAGCAATTTTCACCTCCTGTCTCATTTTCCTTCTCCTGAGCAGCATTGGTATGTTCTGTGCCCCCAGCCCCGTCTCCAAGTGGACTTTCCAGCCCGACTGTGGTCTGTGGCGGGGGCCCCGGTTCAGCCCTAATGCCCTGCCCTGTCCCCCAGTTCCCTACCTGGTTTGGGGGTCCCCTGATGCCCCTCTCCACCTTTCCCCCACCAGGGCACTAAGGCACAGTACCTGGCAGCCAAGGCCCTGAAAAAGCAATCATGGCGATTCCATACCAAGTACATGATGTGGTTCCAGAGGCACGAGGAGCCCAAGACCATCACGGATGAGTTCGAGCAGGGCCCCCTCTGGTCCCAGTGGTAGGGTCGGGGTAGAGACCCTGAAGCCCCTGCGGGCCTCTGTTCCCTTTACCTCCACCCTTCAGCTGGCTTAGTACCTCAGGCTGTTGACTCTGCCCAGGATACTTCCTTATCTTCCACTTGGCTCCTAGTCCTCCTTTAGGTCTTAGCCCAAATGTCCCTTCCTTGGAGAAGCCTGTTTGGACCCACCCAGTCTGGTGCCCCAACCTCACGATGCTCAGCACTCTCAGTTGAGTGTCAGATTTCCTCACTGGCTTCTCTCTTGGCGCCAAGCTGTGGGCTCTATTGCACAGGGACCTTGATGGCCCGCCCCTTCACCTCCATGTCCCAGCCCGCAGCAGAGCAGGGGCTTAGCAGATTTTCAGTGGGAAAGCTCTGTTTTTAAAAGGCCTTCACATGTTCTAATAATTGATTGGACACTCCCACTTCTTGCAAATACTCTGGAGCCAGCCTAGCTGGGTTTGAGCCCAGCTTTAGCTGGGTGACCTGGGGCAAGTTACTTGAACTTCTTTGTCTCAATTTTCCTATCTGTAAAAATGGGGGTAAAAGGACCTACTTTATGCAGTTGTTATGAAGATTAAATGAGTTAATAACATGTAAGTACTTAATGGTGCCTGCTACATAGTAAGCGTCATGGATTTATGTTTTCTTTTTTCAAATTACTTCTAGTTGGTGTGTTCCACAGTGACTTTTTCCCACTAAATATTTCCCTGATGCCAAGCCCCCTCATGGGATGGAGTATTATAAGGTCCTTATCCTCAGAGAACTCAGTCCCCTCCCCCAGTTCTCCCAGGCTGCCGTTCTTTGAAGCATTTCAGACTCATTCAGAACCCAGCTCCTCTCCCACTGTGTCCTCAGACATTAACTACAGACTTCTCCGATCACATCCTGATTTGGCCCAAAACCATCCTCTAATTATACATTACAGGGCATCTAGTCATTCAGAAATTCCCACATCACTACTGTCACCAATAAAATGTCCCTGCAGAGTGCTTGGATTTAGACTCTGAGCCTGTTCCATTCTCTAGGATGAGGGTGTCGGTACCCGTTGCCTCAAGGTTTTTGTGAAGACTAAATGCTAGGCCATGCGTCCTGTACTCGGCACGAGAGCATCCTGTGCTCAAAAGCTGCAGCCATCGAGGAAGCAGTGGAATGCTTTGCAGACACACCTGGCCTTGGGCATAACCTCTCTGCGGCTCCCTCCATTTCCTCCTCTAAAGTGGGCATGATGACGTTTGCTACCTGAGAAGAGCTTTGTGAGGGTGGCATGAGAACGTGTGTGTGTAGGGCAGTCAGCCCAGTGCCTGGCACATCTAAGAACTGCCCCCTTTGTCTGTTGGTCCGGCCCAGATCCCAGACCACCTCCTCGTCCACTCACTGACCGCCTTCTCCCCCGGCCAGGGCACCTACATCTACTTTGACTACGAGAAGTGGGGCCAGCGGAAGAAGGAAGGCTTCACCTTTGAGTACCGCTACCTGGAGGACCGGGACCTCCAGTGACACCGGCCCCTCCTTCCACCCAATCCCTCCCCCCGCATGCTGATCCCCCTGCCCAGGTGAGGGCCCTGCCCTGGAAGACTGGGGGAGGCCCCAAGCCATGGGGCATCCCCCTCTCCCGGGAAGTAGGGAGGGGGCTGGGAGGCTTTCTCTTCCTCTCAGCCCCGCCCGGGGGGCCCGGGGGCGAGGGCTGCCCCCTCCTCCCCTCCCCAGTGAGGGACATTTTTTGGTAAACCTATTTTCATTTTGGAAAATATTTATGAATAAATAGTTTTATATGACGGCTGGCAGCAGCGGCCTCTCCTGTACCCCCTCAGGAGTCAGTGAGCAAGGTGGGGGTCCTGTCGTCGGGGGCGCCGGGCCAGCTGGGGGTTGAACTGGGAGTTGTATCGCCGCAGGCGGTCATCTGTCTCTTCCATCTCCGGCTGACCCTCTCGTGGTGCCCGGCCTTGGACCCGGGCCAGCAAGGCTTCTGCCCGAGCCCTCTCAGCTGCTTCCCTCTGGAGACGTTCAGCTCGAAGCCGGTCCAGGGATGGGGTTCTGTGGGGAATGGAGTCAGGTTAGAAAGCTGGTGGTTCCTAGGAGGCCCCTCCCCTAGCCTCTTCTGTAGAGAGAGCTGCCACCTGGAACCCCTTGCCTGTTCCCAGCCTGAGCTTTTGAGGCCTGCTGGAAGGAAGCCATCTGGTGCTGGGATGCCGTGGGCAAGCATCTGGGCCTTCCCTCCTGTGGGCTCTGTCTGCCCCAGTCTTTACAATCAGGTGCCCCTTGAGATCAAGAAAGTATACTCAGCAACTCTTTGGCCCTCTCAGGGCCTGAGTTTCTCCTCCTATAGAAAAAAGGAGCCCGTCATTGGTGTACCCCTGCTACACTCAGGATCATAGCACCCTAGGGACATAGACCTTTTACTGTCTAACCCCAGTGGTTTTCAAACTCTTTGGTCTTAGGACACCTTTATACTCTTAAAATTGAGGACCCTGAAGAGCTTTTGTTTAAATAGGTTGTATCTATTAACATATAGCAAATTAGAAAAGAAAACTGAGGAGTCTTGGAAACGAGTGTCTGTGCCATTAGCCTTGAGAACAGTGGTGTCTTCACACATCAAATCACCTCTGGAACCTGCACTGCATACTTGAGAATGAGCGTGAAAAAAGGCAAATGGTGTTATGAAAATAGGCTCAACTCTGTAGACCTTGTTCTCTACCCACCCAGACCCTGGCTGAGTCCCCGCCTGTCCCGACCAGAGCTGCTATGATGCCCTGGAGGTCTGGGCCTTGGTCTGTTCTGGGGCTGGGTCTTCCTTCTTACTCCTTGGGCCGCTGTTTCTCAGACCCTTCCTTCTTGTCCTTTCTGCTGTGAATGCCTTCATCACCACTGTGCCTTCTCTTCTTCCCCAGATGCTTCTGCATCTCCCGCAGAGGGTCCAGGCGGCTCTTGATCTTCTCATCTGGGCCTGGGCCAGGTGAGGGGTCTCCTCTTGTTGGGGGGAGCTGGTACCAAGGGGGCTGCGTCTGGGCCTCTGCTGCACTCTGGCCCAGGTACGTCAGGATGCCCAGAGCTTTCTCTTGCCTTTCCTGAGGGGGCCAGAAAGTACAAGAGACAGTATATAGTCACTTAGTGTACCAACTGTGTCTCCTTTCAGAATCCCTGGATGTGATAACAGGGAAACCTGGGGTGCTCTGACCTGAGAGCCTCTGGTCCTGGGGAGGTAAAACCAGTCATGCAATAAATTGGCAGCAAAGGCCTGTCAAAAACCAACTATGCCAGATGCTGGGGGGGGGGGGAGCAGCAGACCCAGGGCAGGCTGAGCTCCTGCCCTCGGGACAATTGCAGGTGCAGTAACAGAAAGCACAGGAAAGGGAGGATGAGGTGGAGCTACTTCAGAGTTCAAAGGCAGGTACTTTTGGGCAGATACTTGAAGAAAATCCTGAAGCAAGCAAGCCAAGCAGAGGAGTGATTGCGGAGGTTGGGCAGTACAGAGTTTGATGGGAAATCCCAGAACGAGTGAGTGACACTGATTTACATTTTACCAAGCTCCTTAACACTTCTCAAATCCCTGTAGGGTTTTGACATTAGGTTGGAGACCCCTCCAGTTTGAAGACCTGAAAGGTTTACCTAAGCAGTCCACAGCTGGGGGCCTCCAGCTTCCACTTCCAAGCCCTGTGGCCGCCCAGATGGCAGTAACCAACACTTGAATGTTCCACTTTGGTACTGTTCCAAATTCTCTATGTCCCTATACTCCTTAGTCTTACCTCCATGGCTAAAGTGCTCTCATCCCCAGCTCTATTCATGACTCCTCTGATGAAGTGGATGACACCAACTTACTTTCTCTTGTTGCTTTTCTTCCTCGTACTCTTTATTGCCTCTGGTCACCCCTTTCCCTTCCTCCAGCAGCTCCCGAAACAGGTCCACAGGGCCAGAACTTGGGGCTCCTGCTTCGAGCTCAGGCAGCGAGTTCTGATGTCTGGCTTTCTTCCGTAGGAATTCTGTGCGGGCCTGAGGGGAATGGAAATTATAGTCAGGACATACAGAACCTAGAGGTGAATCAAGGAACTGTGAGTTGGCTGGGCGAGATGTCTCTCGCCTGTAATCCTAGCACTCTGGGAGGCCAAGGCGGGCGGATTGCTTGAGGTCAGGAGTTCGAAACCAGCCTGAGCAAGAGCACGACCCCATCTCTACTATAAATAGAAAGACATTAATTGGCCAACTAATAGACATAGAAAAAAAAAATTAGCTGGGCATGGTAGCACATGTCTGTAGTACCAGCTACTGGGAGGCTGAGGCAGGAGGATCACTTGAGCCCGGGAGTTTGAGGTTGCTGTGAGCTAGGCTGATGCCATGGCACTCACTCTAGCCTGGGCAACAAAGCAAGACTCTGTCTCAAAAAAAAAAAAAAAAAAAAAAAAGGAACTGTGAGTCTGGGTGCTGACCCCACAGTTCCTTTTTTTTTTTTTTTTTTTTGAGACAGAGTCTTGCTTTGTTGCCCAGGCTAGAGTGAGTGCCATGGCATCACGCTAGCTCACAGCAAACCTCAAATCCCGGGCTCAAGTGGATCCTCCTGCCTCAGCCTCCCAGTAGCTGGTACTACAGACATGTGCTACCATGCCCAGCTAATTTTTTTTTTCTATGTCTATTAGTTGCCATATTAAGTCTTTGC